AATCATAAATAGCGCCCTCAAGTTAGCAGGATGTGGTTCTGAATCATAAATAGCGCCCTCAAGTTAGCAGGATGTGGTTCTGAATCATAAATAGCGCCCTCACGTTAGCAGGATGTGGTTCTGAATTATAAATAGCGCCCTCACACGAGCAGGATGTGGTTCTGAATCATAAATCCTAATTCTCCAAAAACTCCACTTTTATCATTTTTAGGGCTGTGTAGGAGACCTCGATAAGGTGCTGACCAAGTGTTTTTTAATGTCATAGGACTTCAGTTCTCTGTAAAGAAAATTTGCATTGAACTTTTGTTGCCAGAACATAACCACATTAAATGACACTCATATTTGTTAAAATGCGAATCCTTTTTGTAAAAATCTGATCCTTTGATCCTTTTGAGTAGTGTACAAATGCAGACAGACTTGCTCCATCAAGAACTACGGTGGAAGCAAAGAACTACATCTCTGACATGTCTGAGAAGATCGAGTCCTTTCCTTGCCTTTTTATGAATCAATGCCTAGGATTCTGACGAAGATCCCTCATGCAGTCTCAGAAAACTCTTCCTCCTCACTGAGGCGAGGACTGGCATCTATCCTCTCCTTGACATGCTTGTGGATCATCTCTAGGAAGTCCTATTGGATCTTGTCGTCCATCTTGCTTCTCTCCTTATTGAGTGAGGCGAGGGCGCTCTTCTCATCGGCATTGTAGATATGGTTCTAACGCACAGCTGCCATGTCAACAATGTCTGAGATGAAATTAAACACAGAAGAATGAGTTACAGCAAAACACTGAGACAATTCTGACAAACATTCAAGGATCTTTGTCCAATCCTTCATTTTACACCTTATTTCATACAAAACAGTCTGCATTGTAATTGGATTTGACACTAAGGCTGAGTTCAGTTGGCTTGCACTCATATGCTCACAAACAGCTTGATTTGTTGTTCGTGGGTCGGCTGGTCAAACGCCGGAAACATACAACCGATTATCACTGGTAGTTAGTGGCAAGCAACATGCAATATGGCGGCGTCCATGTACGTTCTCCAAGAGTTACTGTTTGGATAACTGTGCTGAATTCTTTTCTATTCAAAAAGAAACATTCATTTCTGTGTTATGGAAATTTTGTGATGTTAATTTTGCAAACTTCCCATGTCTCCGGCATTGTAAGCCATCTCGCTATTTTGTGCAGTTGTGCAAAAATCAACATCTCAGGAGGCAGGGTTGGGAATATTTTTATTTCAAGCAGATTTTTAAAAAATTTAAATCAGATTTTTTTTATTTAAAAAAAAATTGGAGACATGTTAGCTGCATGTGAATTAATTTTCATTCATTTATCTCTTTTGCTATAAAATTAACCAAATTTGGATTTGAATTAAGAAATTTAATTGAAATCAAGTAACTGACTAAATTCACAGATCATCTTGAATACATGTATTGTCTAAACCTAATGCAATGCATAGTAGCACCTAGCACTACATGCACATGTACACTACCTGCTGAAGACACTTCCTTCAGAGACATGTGCAGTACATGCACCAAGGATAAAATGCCTACCAGGTTGTCACAGAACTTCTAAGTTTTGACTAAACTGGAGTCCACAAGAACAGGGTCCTTCTATGTGTATCAAATAACTAATGAGTGAAAAACACGCCATCAACCACATGTACTGTACATGTGCATGTACTTATCTTACATGATATACGTGTATGTATGTACATGTCGACCTGTACAACATGCTGGTACATGTACATGTCGACCTGTACAACATGCTGGTACATGTACATGTCGACCTGTACAACATGCTGGTACATGTACATGTCGACCTGTACAACATGCTGGTACATGTATGTTACCTTGCTCTTCTTTGCACAAAAAAAAGTAGTCTTGTTTTGTTTCTGATCCAGGTCCTTTGTGATTAAAAGAGCAATGACTTAGGCTTGATTGAAATCACTTTATTAACCCAAACCCCCTAGGGAC